GCGCGCCGGCCGCCGCTTCTGGATGCTGAGCCGCCGCGTCGTCGGCATGCAGGCAGCGCTGCAGGAAGTGCCTGCGAGTTCATGCGAGCAGCCTCCGCTCTGAGGCCGCGCTCGCCCAGCAGGTTCCTTCTGGCGCGGCTCACGGAGGAATCGGGCCGAGCGACCCTTTCTCCCGCCCGGAGCAGGCGGCAGCCCGCGACGCGTCCCAGCGCCAGCTGCAAAGGAGCGCCTCCTCCTCCTCCTCCTCCTTCTCCTTCTCCTCCTCCTGCGATGCCGGGTTGCATTGCTCCTGAAGCCGGCCGAGAGGCGTCGGCTTGCGTGAATGGGTGGGATTTATGCCTTTTTAATTAGGGGCTTCCAGCTCGGTCTTCCAAGTGGCCGGTGGCTTTTTTATAAGGATAGCCCTACAGTTCAAGATGTACACGTTTGTGGTGCGAGATGAGAACAGCAGCGTCTATGCTGAAGTCTCTAAAATCCTGCTCTCCACCGGACAATGGAAGAGACTCAAGAGAGACAATCCCAGGTTCAACCTCATGTTGGGCGAGAGAAACAGGCTGCCCTTCGGGAGACTGGGTAAGCAAGCCGCGCGCGACCGGTGGGGGACGCAAAGCCCGAGCGCGACCCTTCTGCGGAGCTCTCCGGGAAGAAGGGGGTCCTGGCCGATCCGCCTCCGAGACCCGCCGATCTGTAGGCGGCGGCTGAAGTTTGGAAGTGCTGGCGAGAGGGCGGCGGTGGGGAACGTGTGCCAGACCCGGGTCTGCAGATGTTGGAAACGGGGTGTTGTCTGCTGCAACACGGGAGTGATTTTGCCCTTAGCAAGCCGCTGAGACTAGCTGGATGCCAGGTTGCGAAAAGGGTGGTGGTGTATCTGTTTGGGTCAGAAAGTATTGCAAGGAAATAATACAGGTACTGAGATAATTTTTTGCATTTCTTGTTTTAACCGGGGCAGAATCATCTGTTAAGTTAGCATTCTAATTGATCTTTTTATTTTTTAATAATATGTTTACTATCCAGGAAAACCTATATCTGAAATGAAAATAAAATTATACTAATATAGTTTCTACAGCTTTCCTAATATTTGATGCTGTATTTAAGTCTGTATGTTAGTGATTTTTTTCCAATTTAAGTGCAAGTCCTCTGCATTCTGTCTAGCCATGATTAGGATGCTGGTCATCTATTTAACCTTTGCTGACTCCTTTTGGCACTGAAAAGAAAATGCTTTTTTCCTTTTGCCATAATATTTTATGTTGTTCACCAGTAGCGAACTATTGAGCATGGTTGTGTCAAGGGTCAGGCATCCAACTCTCTGCCTTTTATTTCAAGTTGGTTTGAACTGGGTGCAGGGTATATTTAAATGGCCTACAGCAGTGTTTCTCAACCTTGGCATCTTGAAGATGTGTGGACTTCAACTCCCAGAATCCCCCAGCCAGCATGGGGAATTCTGGGAGTTGAAATTCACACATCTTCAAGCTACCAAGGTTAAGAAGCACTGGCCTACAGACTGGGTTCTCTATGAGTTCTGAATTTTAAAGACTGGATATATTTGTTGAAATGATTCATGATGTAAGGAAAGGGGGAAAAACTCTGGGCATAAGCATTTCCAATTTCCATGAACTGTTGAGAGTCACAGACCCAATGATTTTTGTATGTTTACTCAAAGACTGAAGTCCTCATTCACTTGGGAGTAAGCTGCAGGAATCTCAAGTGGGATTTAGCTTTGAGGAGATGCATGTAGTAATGTGCTACGTGCCTCTGTTGGACTGTGACTGGGGCCAGTGTTATGAAAATTTTATAGTGGATTTTTATAGTGATTTTTATTCAAGTGAATTGGGGAATGTTTTTTCCATGCTGGGGAAATCTTTGAGAAATACTAACAATTATTCAATCAAAAAGCAGTTATTTTTTAAAAAAATAAGCAGCAGATTTATTTAACTTGGCATCCTCCACTCCAGCTCCCTGAATTCTCAGTCAGTATGCCATAAAACTTTGAATCGAATTGTTAAAAGTTATTGGTTCACTTACATGGCACTGGTCCACATGTCAGTGGAAGAAAATGGATCCTGCAAATTTTCTCTTGCTGTAATTTAGAGTATTGGTCTTATTTTCTTCAAGTGGGCTCTTTTAAAGTGCTGTTCATGGAACCTGTGTTAAGCTTTCAAAAGCAAAGAAGAATAGCTTGCTTCTGTATAGGGGCTGCTTATGTTATTGTGATGTTAGACAGTCACAACAATCATTCCAGCTACTGTTAAATGCATTCAGGTTTCACTGACATCAGAAGGAGAGGTTTAAAGAGCTGTCCTAGGCACTTGAGTGGCCTTGGCTGGACTCAGAGGCTGGATAGGACTGAGTCTGGTTAGAACCTGGGTGGGACACCTTTAGAGCTGTGTTTCTCAACCTTGGCAACTTTAAGATATGTGGACTTCAATTCCCAGAATTGCCCAGCGAGTACTGGCTGGGGAATTCTGGGAGTTGAAGTCCATACATCTTCAAGTTGCCAAGGTTGACAAACATTGCTCTAGAGAATTCTAGGGCTATAGAGCAGACTGAAGTCACCAAAACCATCCACCCCACAAGGCAGTGGCAAACCACTGTTGCCAAGAAGATGATTTGGTTATCGCACGTAGGCACAAGGAATTGGGTTCAGCTTGAAAGAGGCTGCATCTTTACATTTATATGCATCATTAACCTGGAGGTCCCATTGGTTTTTAGTCTCCATACATAATTGAAGATAAGTCAGTTGATTGGTGTAGCTTCTAAGCACTGTAAATAAATATAAATAAAGTATAGGGTTTATTTATATACAAATTAAAATAGATAATACAAGAAATAAGGGCAGTTACTAAGAGAGGAGCTGGGCTCCCCTCCACTGAATGTGTGTAGAGGTTGGACAGCTGTCTCTCAGAGATGCTTTAATTTGGATTCTTGCATGGAGGCATGGAGAAGATTGGACCTGAGGGCCTAAATGGCTTCTTTCAATTCTACAGTGGTGTGACTTGCTGAATGTGGAAAATGACCTGAATGACTGGAACAGGAAAACTAAGTCCTGTGAGTATGTTTAGCTAAGGACATTATAACTCAAAATAATAGCATAGTTCAATAGCATCAATTAAACACTAGAGCAAATCTGTCCTTTTTTGCTCCTCCAGACTACCCCAAGTTTGTGTCCTCCTAATCTGTGAATGAACTACAACTCCATTCTTGCTCACTGATAATGACGTACCTGTGCCTCAAAACATCTCGAGAGCACCAGCTTGGGAAAGCATGCTCCAGAGGATGGGATCTGGAGGATTTTAAAAAGGATTTTTGACTAAATATATAGAAAAAAGTCCAGATAGTCAGTTCCATTGCCAAACAGCTTCTGCTATTTCTGAAGATGATGGATTTGTCTTGTTAAACCCTTTTAAGCAAGGGTTGGATGATCATGGATGCTGTAATACTAGATTTTTTTACATTGCAGGGAATTGAACAGGATAATTTCTGAAGTTTCTTCCAGTTCTTCTTCTTTGGAGTAAGACTAAAATTAAAAAATGTAACAGTGCTTTGTACACTTAAGATGTAACTTAAGACTAACCTATTTTAGCCTGTAATAATAAGGAGGGTAGAGGAGCTCAAGTTTTTAAAGCTGTAGAAAAAAGTAGAGGAGAAAGCAAACCATCCTACAAAATGCAAAGTATTGCAAGAACCAGTATAAAAGAAATAAATCACACCCAGAGTCCTGCTTTAAAGCAACAAAGAGATTGGTCGTACCTCAAGGACTAACAGATCTCTAGAACTGTTTTTCACCTTTAGTCCATGAAAAATTATTCATTACATTGGGGTTAAAAAGATATAACCAACTATTTTCATGCAACTTACAAATTTCTATTCCATATAGACATACCTCTTGCTTTCCAAACACTATTCTTGTGGAGTGTGTTTAGAGCAGTTTAACACTACAATAGGACTTCTCTGGAACCCTTGGGTTCGTTGCCCAAAGAACAATTCCTCTTTGAGTGTTCTAGTAAACAGAAAATATCTATTCAGAACAGACCTGGCTGTGTGGACATAACATTGCAGCTGTTATTAATTTTTTATATTTAATTGGACCCTACTTATGCAAACCAAATAAGACCCTATGATCCAGTGTTTCTCACCCTTGGCAACTTTAAGATGTGTGGACTTCAATTCCCAGAATTCCCCAGCCAGCATGAAGTCCACACATCTTAAAGTTAAGGTTGAGAAACACTGCTATGATCCATCTATTAAAAGAAGGGGCAGAATCATGGAAACTGCCTAGGGATATTGTGCCCATGTGAGACTTCTGCATTGCTCTATTCTCTTGCAGGTGCCCCTTCCCCAGGAGTATCTACTCTGTGATTTGCACCTGCTGCAAATCTTAGCCATGATTTCAAAAGGGGTAAACATTACATTTGCTCCTATTTTTGAAGTTGGAATGAAGTAGACTGGTAATGGATTAGATTCTACCACCAAGAAGTCAGCCTCTCTGTCTCCCCCAGCCAGTATGTTGCCTGGAAATCAGAGCAATTATAGTCCAATATCTGGAGGATATCAGGTTGAAATAGGCTGCTAAGTGATGCTGGCAGTTGTTTAATTTAGAATAGGACAGTTGTTCCAGCAAATGGCAGGCTGTATAATGTCATAAACATTCTGTCTGTGTAACAGGGTATGGGGCTTTTTTGTGCTGAAGGCCATTATTCAGTGTTGGGAGTGTATGAGTAAGCAAAGTAAGATGCTACAATGAAAAATTTAATTTAAAGAAAATATGCTTATTTAAAGGAGGTATTTACTATACATGAGTAAAACCAGCTGAAATTACCAAATAATTAATCACCTTTGCAACAGTAGGTGAAATCTTGTGGAACATTTATGCTACAAATCAGTTATGATGGTGTAAATTTTTGTGTGGCTCCTTTGTCAGACACCCGATATCTTACAGTCCTATGTCTCTGTGGCTGAAACTGGAACTACTATAATTTCTGGGCCAGGAAGGGTATTCATGTTAGTCTCTGGCAATAAAAACAATTCCTTTTTTTCTGACAGGTATCTATTTATTGTTAATGATAGCTAGGCTGGAGATACCTAGGCTGTCTGTCTGTCTGTCAGACAGACATTGTTATTAGGAAATGGTTTGATTTTTCTTTTAAATACAGCAGCCCCATTTGCAAGGAACTAGTTAGTCTGTGCTACTACAAGGCTTTTGCTGAGTGTTATCCTGTGCCTGGTAACAGTTTTGTCTTTTCCCAAGTTCTGCCTCTACATTAAAAAAAAAACTTGAGGATAATGGACTTGAATCCCTCACTAGTGAAGCAATTAGCAGGCTGCCTGATGCTGAAGAAACATTTATGGGCAGTGACTTCTGGTTCAGGTTGTCTTTGCTACTTCTGATCTAGGTTTTTTTTTATTTGGGAGGAAACTGTTTTGATTAATCTTGCTTAATGGATAAGAAGGGATTGGCATAGGCACAATACTTAATGATTTTCATAATTAAAACTTTTATATAATGCATGCAATTTCTGGGTTTTGAGCAGAAATACATGAACATAGCATGTTTTGCAACACCTTAAACCAAACATGCCTTTTCCTGGGATCACACCACAGCTGTGGAGGCGGTGGGGAGCTCGTCATCCTGGCAGAAGACATGGCTGCTTTGCGGAGTTGCCAACAGACGCTTTGTGCTGCACGTGCTCCACAGCAGCTTTGTGTCCTCAAATCCAGAGCCCTACCCAGCCATAATACTGATCCTTTACCACCACCCAACCCAGTGTGTTGCTCCACATGTCTTAGGATTGCAGTTCCCAGAATTCCTAGCCAGCGTAGCTAAGTCTAACAAGTGGTGAGGCCACAAGCTTTTGTGAGGCCAAGCTGGCTGCAAATTTGTGAAAGCGGTCCTACATATCAGGAGATTGCCAGGTTGGAAAAGCTGGCCAGAATGGTTTTGGCATATCAAGAAAAGAAATGCTTTTTTTATCCCTTATGAAAACTTAAAGAAAAATCTTAGTAAACTGGAGAAGGTGTGGCAAAGTAATGAAATTATGAAAAGCAAATCCGAGCAGCTAGTCAGAAGAATTGAGACCGAAACAATTATGATTGTGGATTAAGTAACATGAGTCAGCAGTGAGAGAGGTCCGTTTAAAAGACTAATGGATTGCATTAGCAGAAGCTTTCAGCCCATCAGCATCATAGGCGGAGAGCAAGTGACAGGGTTGCATTATGAGGTCATGATTCAAACCTTATGACTTACATACTTGTCTCCAGCGTTGAAACACAAGTACAAAAGGATGGAGATTGTATCCTGACATCGCTGCATGGATATCATCATTTTGTATACAATTGTAGTTATCTATGGATGCCTCTGTTCGTGTCCACCTTTCAGAAATGGCACTGGTTTTACTAGTCTCTGATTAAGGGCTCAGATGATGATGCACTTTGTCTGGGTCTGGATACACAGTTAGATAGAGATTGATACTTTGGGGTGTTCCACACATAACATTCATTCACTCATGCCCAGTTCCCAACAAGGAGTATTAATGCTGCATGATATCTTTATGTAATGGATATGAGAGACATTTATGGGAGGGAGGGGGAGATTGGCTTGTAGAATAGGTAAGACTGTCTTTTAAAAAGAAAGCAGGGGGCTCTACCGCTGTAAAAATGGACTTAAAACCTCCAGGAAGTGAAAACTTAGAAGACATAAACTTGAAGAAGAAAAACAATATTTTAGGGATTTTTGAATGACAAGCAAAATATTTAGGCTGCAATGATTTATTTCTTCTGCCTTAATTTAAGAAAAAGATCAGTGGTTGTGGTTTTCCCTGTCTTAATTGACAAATCCAAGTCTCTGCTTCTGAGATTTCAATTCATCAGAATTGATTAAGATTAAGCAAAACAAAATAAAAGCTCTGTGGCAGGAATATGGTGTATCCTGAAGAGCACCAGGCTCTAGCGTCTCTGTGTTTTAGGTGAGGTTTAGAGAAATAATAATTACTCTTACCAACTGAAATTACTATAAATGTTTAAAATTTTCTTACAAAATGGAAGTCTAACTCTGGAAACCCAGGATCTCTTAATTTTGGCCGTCTGATAAATTGGCAAAAATAAAGAGAGAAGAAACCATCAAGATAATAAAACCAAAATTATATATTCTGGTCTTAGACTTTTCATATATTCACATTTTTTAGAAAAAAATTAAGAAAACACGAAAAATCAGAAAACCTTCTGCATAAAGGGGTTGTTTTTACGTATTACATACAGGTAGTCCCCAGTTTGAGTTCCGTTCCCAAGGTCTGTCCTTAAGTCAAATTTGTTTGTAAGCTGGAACAGTATTATTATATAATACTGTATAAGTAGTATTGTGTAATTAACTCAAACCATTCTGTATTTAACACAAATTTTGCTACAATAGATTCCATTCTTAACTATGTCTCGTTCATAAACTGGGCATTCTTAACCTGGGGACTACCTGTGTTGAATCGCATTTTCTGATTTATTACTGTTGTAGTCAGTTTTAGTTTCTTTTGAGACTTCAGATTTATCCCCTCAGTACATTTCTGAAACTGTAGGTTGCTTGCACTGAGAAAGCTTCTTTACCATTTTACACATTATCTGTATATGGGAACTGTAATGCTCTGATTCAGTAGCTAAGTCTTATTATTACAAGTTAATAGAAAATATGGAGGAGGGGAATTAAGGAGAGAAGTATACAGAAATCTTGTCTTTCTGCAGTCATTATTCTAAAAGAAAATATCTGTTCAAAAATTTTAATGTTTCTAATTTTTCAGAAAAAAAAAATAAAAAGGTGTTGAGGTGGGAATACATGTATTTCCCCCTCTCTCATTACATTTTCTCTCTGCTCCCTATTTTAATTTTATGTGCTAGCAAGATTATTTGGCTGGGCAGGTTCCTCTGAAATTTTGTATCCCTCAAGATTTTATTTGCTCATTAACTATTTCTCTTAGTTTATGTTACATTATTATTCTAATGCTTCTCTTAACATCTGGTGCAGCAGACTCCTCCTCTTGCTGACCAAAAGTGCTGGGATAGCTACAGTTTGGGCTTACTGTATTTAAATCAAAAATGTACAAGACTTATATATAAGCAGAGTTGCTGATACTTAAAATGTGGCAGTGAACAACTCCTTTTTTGTTTTTAAAAAAGTGGAGATTAATAGTGGTGTTATCCGTATAAATGTTTGTCTAATTTAAAAAAAAAACATTTCCAGAATGCAAACAACATGGATATAAAAATTCTACTTCCCTTTTTATAGGTCATGAACCTGGACTTACACAGTTGGTGAACTACTACAGAGGAGCTGATAAACTTTGTCGAAAAGCTTCTTTAGTGAGGTAAGATATTTTTGCTTGCTTGTTTATATGTTACGGTGAGATTCTTGCCGCCTTTTGTCAATTTTCTGAAGTTGCTTCTGCATCAACATACTCAGGAGCAATGCTCAGCTTGTTTCTGGTTAATAACTGCAACCGTTTTAGGTGTGGCAAAGAGCATTTGCATTCCAAATGTTTATCAAACAAAAAGAAGAAAAAAACAAAAAAAAGGTGAATACAGATGAGTGGCAAAAGATGATATGTTTCTTATCTGTAGAAATAAAGAGATTGTGGGTCTTAGTGCATAACCATTCAGCAGAAATGGGGTTGGCTGGCCCCTTAGCGGCCTGGTGTGGCCCCTATCGGCCTCCTGGAATTTTTAGCCTTTTTTTCTTTTTTATGTCTGGTTTTTATAAT